AGGCACCATGCTCTTGTATTTAACTTACTATTAGATCTGTTATGAAACAGACTTGATCGAGCTGTTTCAATAGTTTCCATTTGGTGTCCCCGCCCCCCCCCCTTTTGTTGTTGTTGTTGAGGGAAGAGACACTGGTGCAGTCTGCACCCCTTGCACTGCTTATGCTAAAAAAACACCAAGAGCTGCATATGCTTTCAAAATTGCACATAATAAATATAATATGACCACCAATAGTTGCTGCCTTTTACTTTTAAAACATACTATTTTTAAGCACATGGATTTTCCACACTAAGGAACTTAAAAACAAAGCTGCAGAGAAATCAATAATTTAACACCGAAAACAGTTTCCAAGTTGCTTTCCCCATTTTTATGTTATTTTAAAAAAAAAAAAACATTTTTTAGTTATTTCTCCAAAATTTGAAGGGATCCCCCCCCCCCCCCCAATGAAAATCCATTTGTTACATAATTGGGATTTTATTCATTTATTTTATCGGATTAATAATAATTATTTTTTATTTGCGAGTGTATTCTATGTATATGTATAAATTAATTAAACAGTAATTAGTTTCATATTATTCTAATACTATCTTGGTCTTGAGTTTGACTATAAAAGTCTATACTATGACTATGAGTTTCTTACTTTCAAATTGGGGGCAGCGCATATAGGCATATGAATAGGCGGCTTAGACAATTATATTTGGGGTATTGGCTAAAAATGTTTGCAGAACCTTGGTCTACACATTTGACTCAAAAATACTAACAAGACTTAGTTACACCAAGTTACAGTAATAATTTTAAAAGTAGACTTACTCGGAACTTACTGATTCTATTTATTCTATCCTACCTACTACCTAGTTTTAGTATTTTATTCTAGACTAGACTACTATAATATAATTATTTATAATGCTACGTAGCCATATTGGAACAAATATAATATATAACTAGTTTAACTAGCCAACTTACCTAATTTTAAAACATAATTTTAAGTCAGTTTATTGTCCAAATATTGAATTAAAATTTAGAATTCTTACCACTTAAACTTTAATAAACACTTAACACAGTCTCCAGGGTCAAAGGCGTTATGAATATTAAATACTTAAAACATATTTTTTTAAACCAATCAAATATGAATACTTGTATAAAAATGAAGTTTGATTGGCTGGGTGTGTAATGCACCGGCATCTTTTTCTTGGCCTACTTAATAGATCTTGATGTGTGTTTTATTGTTGTTCGTGGCAACGCGAAACATGTGCTTTCCTGTTATATGTGCGGACTTACAAGAGTTAGAGAGAGGTTGATAAGTTTTAGTTTAATTAACCACCATATTAAGGTATGTATTGTCGTTTTACATACTAATGATTGCAACATTATTGTTGTTGGGGGAAATTACAGTTGACAAAACTAGTTACACACTGGCTCTGTCATTGTGTGTCAGCTTCCGTTTACTGACCGCCGTGATTGCACAGACGCTGGAGAGACTCTTACTCTTGTATTCTTAATATTATGTCTAATAAGTGTAAGAATGGATACCAATTGGTAATCTACCACTTGAGCGTCGGCCAAGGAAAAATCCAGTTGTTTGGCTTGGAAGGGCTATTTAAACAACTATTCTTACAGTGGAGTTCGTTAATATTTTTGCTTCCGTATACAAGAATAGTATAGGCATAGGCTATAAAGTTAAATATATCACAATACTAATACATTTAAATAATTATTACTGCCAAGCTACCGATATGCCAGGAAGGAAAAGAGACTAAAGTGCCGACGTCCGAAATGTTTGATACAGATCAGATACAAAATGAAGAAGAATGGTCGCTGTGCACACTACTGCTGAATTTGTCAGACCCCTTATTGGGCTTATTCAGCATCTAAGTCTAAGATTAAGATGGTGCATTAAGAAAATTATATATTTTTCTTGATCCAGATGATGCCGATGTCCACATACAGAATGTGGATGTCCACATACAGAATGTGGAAAACGTGGATGCTCAAAAAGCGTTAACTGAAAAGACAGTTTGGCACAAGCCGTGATCTTTCACCTTCATATTTACTTCGTGAATTCATGTACCACAACCGATTTTGTGGAACTTATATTTTTTAAAACTTCATTGTCGCCTTGGGGGAGAACTATGCATAATTCTATTTTCAAACATTAAATTGTTTAAATTTTTCTATTTCAAATTTTTTAAATAGTTTTTCTATTTAAAAAAAAATGTTCTTGTGTAATTGTATTAGTATTATTATTATGGGACTGAATACGCACAACCAATGTCATTAAAAATAGTATATGAATAATTGTTTAAATAGCCCTTCCAACCGGAACAGCTGGATTTTTTCTTGGCCGACGCTCAAGTGGTAGATTACCCCAATTTCTTATCTATGGGATGACATGTATAATTTAAAATTTTCGGCTCCAACTTTTTGTATAGCCCTCTCGCTTCACATAAGACTTAACTACGGCTAAGGCGTCTAAGGCTAAGGCAATTTTAAATTAAGGCCAAGACTCAGGGCCAGGGCTAAATCAGACTTAATCATAGAGCCTTGGGCCTGTCTTTACTGCGACTGTACTTCACTGTACTGAATGTAATAATAAAAAGAGTTAAATAGAAAAATGAACTATTGTATTAATTTATTGTCCTAGCTAGCTAAGTATTAGTTATAAGCCAGAGTAGTAAGCAGTATCAGTATAGAGGTAGACTAAACTAAGCTTCACGAGGTCATGCTGCTATACTATATCATATCAAAAAAATAATTCAATTGAAAAGAATAAGTCTTAAAATTAAATACCCATGCCATATTCAATTCATTGTGTGTACTCATAGTCATATCCAGCTGTTATCAGACTCATGCTAGTTTGTGTACCACTACCTCTCTATCCGATCCAGCACCTCTCTCTTTCTGAGTCCTTTGCCTTTAGTTTTAGTCTCAGTCTTTACTTTGAGATTGATACATATTCACACTGCTAATCACTGCTATCATAATATTTGACAAATTAGCCTAAGCCTAATTCATGTCTGACTTTTACCATGCCATGGTCTTTAAAAATACATATGTCATTTACTCGAGTTACTCAACACTACCACTGTTAATAAGTGTTAAACACTTTTAAGTAAAGAGTAAAGGTAGAGGCATACATTTTCTGTGGTGTTACTACTTAGATAGAAGTTTAGGACTCATGACCCTTCAGATTTCACTTGGAATGAACAAGAGACAAGAAAAATTCAAGACTTTTATGCCACAAACCCCCTTTTTTTTCCTCTATGAGGTCATAAAGTCATACACACTCTTCTTTTGCCCTCATTTTCATCTTTTTATACCTCAATATCCCCAGTGGCGTAGCTAGGGGAGGGGGAGGGGGGTCCAAATTCAAAAGTCCCCTGGGCCCCTACTTGAGGGGGGCCGCCAAAGGAGTGTCAGAAATTTTTTTTTACATTAAATAATGTCAAAATGCAGAGGCCCCTAAAGAGGCCAAGTCCCTGAATATCCCTCAACATGTATCAACATTCCTTTCAGTGTCTTGTATTAATTATTAAGTACAGCAGAAAAAAATTTCTAAAAATGGTTGTAGCTTGTCAGACCACTAAAAGTCCATAAAATGACTGGAATTTTAATCTCAAAATTTTTTAAAGAAAATTTTGAAATTCTCAATGTTGGTTCCACCATATCTCTCACCCACCCTCTTACCCTTCACACCACATACATACAAGTCATAAACAATGACAATTCAGTAATTTCGTTTGGACACTCGTGCACATTAAAGCCATTGTTAAATACATTTTTCTCCTAATTAGTCAAACCTTTTGGATTCATATTCATGTATCTGCTTGGCTTGGATTGCTGGAACTAGAGTCACTCGGAGAGATAGCGAAACAAGTTAAACTGAGTCTTTCTTCATAGGATCACTGACCAATTATTTCTTTAATAAATTTAGCTGTGGATGAATTCTTGATTTTGTTTTCTTATTATCTTAGAAATGTTCTAAATTAAATCAGAGTCAATACCATCAAGTTCGAGTTCAATAGCTCTGCATAATATTAAAGGCAATTGATGTTTGGATGCTAATTTAAGGCTGCATGTAAAGTTATTCTTCTTAAAATGTATAATATATTTTAAGGAACATTAACTTTTCAATTCAAGATTTATAAAAATATTCTAAGGGTTTAGAATTAACTCAACACTTGACTGAAAGTTTTAAACATTTTATAATTATTATTCATATATTTGATTAAGTTATCCAAACTACTTTTTAGAGTTGCATGGTTGAATAATTTTTAGCTGTTTATAATGTCATTCAGTTTTGTCCAAACATAAAATAAAAAATAAATAAAAAATTGAACCTTTCCATTGGAACACTTCCTACTGACTCGGACTGCACAAACTGATATGTCCCTCTAGCTGTATTTCTTTCCTTGTTAATGTTGAAGGTTTATAAGTCTATTCAAATCTGATTGTTGTACATTTATATAATGTCATTATTTTTTAGGGGAAATAATTCTGAATTTAGCAGTTGTTCCAATTTATTTGACCCACATGAGTTTGATTTCTGCTTAAACTTATGGCAACTGATAGTGTAGCGGGTTGTACTTGCAATGCCAATGTCCTTTATTCATACACGGTCAAAGCATAATTTATTCTCATATCCTTTTATTCTTTTTTAAAATCTTTTTTTCCTTTAAATTCTAATTTATTTTATAAATTTCACATCAAACCTTTAATCAAATTGTAGCCTATTGATTAAAGAGAAAAGAAAATCTGTCTTTGTCTATTTGAGGGGTTGTCGTAAATTTATATGCGTATGTTTGTGTGTCATGATTTGCATGTTGCATAGGTTAAGTTAGCAAATTAAAATCAGGTCTAGCAGAGTTCAGCAGTTTTGCTGCATGTGTATTGGGACATCTATAATTATCAGTTAGTGGGCTAGATAAAAATGCCATATCTTCTTAACCTACTTTTAAAGAGATTTCCCTGACACACCCATGATTCACTTAACCTTTCTGTCCATAGTTACTGATAGGATTAGTAATATGGAAGTTAGAGTTGAAAACTTTATTATTAAAATTTTATGCAATAACATTGAGAGAACCATAGTTCAGGTGCATAAGACAGAACTTGATTTAACCTCATTGCATTATCTTGAGTTTTCATTTCACAAGGATATTTGCGTACACCAGTAGGTTCTGTTTCTTTTATCACCTGTTCATAATGGAACTGATATGAATATGTTCAGAACATGCATTTATATTAGGGTGACTTTGACTTATTTAAACATATTAAGTCCACGTATTTGACTGATTAGACCATATTTAGTATATATATATATATCTATATTATTGGGTGACTTGGACTGATTAGACCATGTTTAGTACATATCTATATTATAGAGCGACGTTATTAAATTGAACATGTTAAGTTCATGCATTTCGTCTGAATTTCTGACTTGAACCCACCCTTCTCAAAACGTTTCCCAAAATGATTTCCGCTGCCCCACACTTTTGTAATTCAAGAGAAATAATATTCATTAACTTTTTAAAATTTCTTGTTTAAAATGTATTTGATTGGGTTTAAAAATTATAAAATACGTTTTGATGGAAGTTTTCCCAGCAACCCTGTGGTAGCAGTTTCAAATTTTTTAGTGCTTGGACAGAATGGTCTAGTGAGCCCAGTAAGGCAGTGGTCCTTGGGGAGTGGTCTAGTGAGCCCAGTAAGGCAGTGGTTCTTGGGAATGGTCTAGTGAGCCCAGTAAGGCAGTGGTCCTTGGGGATTGGTCTAGTGAGCCCAGTAAGGCAGTGGTTCTTGGGGAATGGTCTAGTGAGCCCAGTAAGGCAGTGGTTCTTGGGGATTGGTCTAGTGAGCCCTGAAAGGCAGTGGTCCTTGGGGATTGGTCTAGTGAGCCCAGTAAGGCAATGGTCCTTGGGGATTGGTCTAGTGAGCCCAGTAAGGCAGTGGTCCTTGGGGATTGGTCTAGTGAGCCCAGAAAGGCAGTGGTCCTTGGGATTGGTCTAGTGAGCCCAGTAAGGCAGTGGTTCTTGGGGAGTGGTCTAGTGAGCCCAGTAAGGCAGTGGTTCTTGGGGAGTGGTCTAGTGAGCCCAGTAATGTAATGGTCCTTGGGGATTGGTCTAGTGAGCCCAATAAGGCAGTGGTCCTTGGGGATTGGTCTAGTGAGCCCAGTAATGCAATGGTCCTTGGGGATTGGTCTAGTGAGCCCAGTAATGCAGTGGTCCTTGGGGATTGGTCTAGTGAGGCCAGTAAGGCAGTGGTTCTTGGGGAGTGGTCTAGTGAGCCCAGTAAGGAAGTGGTTCTTGGGGAGGCGGAAGCTCAGATTGAATGAAAGCTGAATCAGGTTTCAAAAATTTTGCTTTAGTTGTAAGTGATGGACCATCTTGGTGTTTAACAGGGTACTCAACAAAATGGAGTAATCTGAGCCATTCATTTTGTCAGATTAAATTCATAGAATGTAAGTGTTTGACCATCTTGGTGTTTAACAGGGTACTCAACAAAATGGAGTAATTTGAGCCATTTATTTTCAATTGTCAGAATAAATCTATAGGAACATTTTATTTTCAGTTTTACACTTACTATCTCTGTCTCTTCTAACATACCATACTTTTACCATTGTTATCTGTCTTGATTACTCTCACATTAAATATACTACTTGTGCAGATTATTTTTGATCAGGCACATTTCAAGTATAGTATAGAGGGGAAAAATACATAAATAGTGGAAAGTGAGGGGTCTGAGGGAAGAGACCATTTTAATAAATTCTTTTTGTTTCCTGAAACCAGAGTAAACCCCTATAGTATTATGGCAGGCTGTGTCCTTTGCTTATTCAAATTTATTGTGCCTTGTGTGTTATAAAATCCAGCCAGATCTTGAATTTGCTTTTATTACTGTGTATTAAACAAAGCCATCATTATTAGGAGTCACACTTGAGTTTAAGTTCAATACAAAAAGTAGGCCAACTCCCTGGTTGCCATAGCCAGGGTAAACAGATGTGGTAACTATGTGCTCAGTCTCAGGCAAGTCATGCATGATCGAGCCTGTGTAATGTGAATGCACCACCCCTTTCTATCCCCTTGGCCTTAGCTATTGATTTGAGTTTGTGACATCATAAATGGCCTTAATTAGAGTCCCTTGCACAAGGTTAGACCTTCTCAGCCTTTATACTTGGCCCTTGTAATACAGGTCTTAAACTGGTAGCAATTTAATTTGGTTGATCATACTGTTAGTTGATTTTTTTTATAAGAGGGTATTTTTCCATTTCTCTAGTTCAGGATTTCATTTGGTGTGAGGGAATTTGATCACATGTTAAAGAACAGAGGATACATTAGCTTTTAAGCTATTAAAAAATGTTTATATATTTGTAAAAAAATTATTATCATCATTTTAGTTATTCTAATAAGCCAAAAGTTTGTTTATTAAGTTATACAGTGCTCTTTGCAATTAAATTTAAAAAGCCCATTAAAAAAAAAAAGAAGCATTTTTACTTTTGTTAAAAAATATGCTTAGCTCAACAATTCATAAGGGGGGGGGGTAGAAAAGTTTGGGAAACATTGCTCTCCTTCAATAGTTTTAAAAGCTACTGGTGAACCTGGTCAAATCAAGCCATGGGCTGACACTGGGAAGGAAGTCATATTTTAGAGATCTTTGTCAGCTACCATGTTAAAATTATTTATCATCTTTATGTCTCCCTGATAAATAGACCAACTTTGATGTTGAAAATTTTTTATTTCTTTTATATTAAAGAAAAAAATTTTTAAAAATTTTTAATAGTTTTGAAGGTTACTAAAAATAAGAAAGAAAATCAAGGGCAAAAAAGAAATCAACAATTGGAATATAGGAAAAACAAATGTTACTGTGCTATTTTAAACTCATTCAACCCAACAGACGAGTGAACAAATCTCATTTTATTATTAAGAAATGGGAAATAAAGGAATGATGGTCTTTAATTCCTTTTTTTTTCTTTATTTGTCCCAAAGTTGTTCTTGACCAGGACATCATATCCCTGGTCCATATTGTCTAGGACATCACATCCCTGGTCCATATTGACTAGCACATCATATCCCTGGTCCATATTGATTAGGATATCACATCCCTGGTCCATGTTGACTAGGATATCACATCCCAGTTCCATGTTGACTAGGACATCACATCCCTGGTCCATATTGACTAGGATATCACATCCCAGGTTCATGTTGACTAGGACATCATATCCCTGGTCCATATTGATTAGGATATCACATCCCTGGTCCATATTGACTAGGATATCACATCCCTGGTCCATATTGACTAGGATATCACATCCCAGGTCCATGTTGACTAGGACATCATATCCCTGGTCCATGTTGACTAGGACATCACATCCCTGGTCCATGTTGACTAGGACATCACATCCCTGGTCCATATTGACTAGGATATCACATCCCTGGTCCATATTGACTAGGATATCACATCCCTGGTCCATATTGACTAGGATATCACATCCCTAGTCCATATTGACTAGGATATCACATCCCTGGTCCATATTGACTAGGATATCACATCCCAGGTCCATGTTGACTAGGACATCATATCCCTGGTCCATGTTGACTAGGACATCACATCCCTGGTCCATGTTGACTAGGACATCACATCCCTGGTCCATATTGACTAGGATATCACATCCCTGGTCCATATTGACTAGGATATCACATCCCTGGTCCATATTGACTAGGATATCACATCCCTGGTCCATGTTGACTAGGACATCATATCCCTGGTCCATGTTGACTAGGACATCACATCCCTGGTCCATATTGACTAGGATATCACATCCCTGGTCCATATTGACTAGGATATCACATCCCCATTTGTTCATCTTAACTAAGTTGCTACTCTTGATCTCAGAATCTGAATTTGCTTCTCTCTCTAAAATGATTAGCTCTTACTCATGCTGAAATGATAATGGCCTTTTGAATATTTTTTGTTTGGTGTTTAGTAAGTATATTTCAGTTTCTTTAAATGCAAAGTCACACCGCACATGGACATTTCCAGTATTTTAATAGTGAGGGAAATACTTTGACCTATTTCACTAATTCTACCAATTTGCGTCATTGTGGTTCCCTAAGTAACTTTCTTAATATTAAAAATGTTGTCATTTCACCTAAAGAAGTCAGTCAACATAATAAAAAAATACAATTCATTTCTTATTTTTCAGGGTCTCCTAAAAAATGGAGGTAATTCAGGGAAAAATTGCAGATTTTCAGCAGTTTTATGATTGGGCTTTCACAGTTGCAGGTATTTAAACATTTCAGCCAGAAGTTGTCAATAGTTTTTTCATTGAAATCACTGAACCTGATTTAAAGAAAGGCCCTTTACTCCACTTAACAGATCTAGAACAAATCATTTTTCTTTTCTGTACTTTTAATTCCTTTTGTGTAATTTTAATTTCTTTTGTGTACTTTTAATTAAACAGTTTTGTTCAAAATAGGACTCACAACAAATGTGACAGACTCAAATGCAAGTACTGCAAAGTACCATTAGTAAAATTAGCCTTGACTGATTATACCTTATACTTTGCCTGTTATTGGTCTAAGGTATCAACTAAGGTAAAAAATAGTCGACAGATCTTGCCATATGTTCAATAATGATCTCATTTACCTACAATCCATGTTTTGTCCCTAGATGAGCGGGTGGCAGACTGGCCCCTCATGTGGGGCTACACCCCAACGCTGGCCATCACTGCTGTCTATCTATTGGCTGTGTATCTTTTACCCAAGATGATGGAATCCCGGCCTCCCATGCAACTCAAATATGTGCTGGTCACTTACAACTTTATCTGTGTCATCATCAACTTTCATATTTGTAAAGAAGTAAGTTTTATTTATCTTGTTTACTGGAGCATACATATTCAAATATACTAGTATTGTTACAAGCAAGGGCGGTATTGTAATAAGTAAGGGTAGTGTTGTAACAAGTAAGGGTGGTATTGTAATAAATAAGGTTAGTGTTGTAACAAGTAAGAGCGGTATTGTAACAAGAGCGGCATTGTAACAAGTAAGAATGGCATTGTAACAAGTAAGTGTGGTATTGTAACAAGTAAGTGTGGTATTGTAACAAGTAAGGGCGGTATTGTAACAAGTGAGGGCGGCATTGTAACAAGTGAGGGCGCCAATGTAAAAAGTGAGGGCGGCATTTTAACAAGTGAGGGCAGCATTGTAACAAGTAAGGGCGGTATTGTTACAAGCAAGGGCATGGATTTTAAGACATCTTAAGTTTAACAGATATAAAAAATATTAAGTTTAAACAAAAAAATAACTTTAGTAAATTGAAGTATTCATCAAATGATTTAATGGAAGTATTTATCAAATGCTTTAATTGAAGTATTCATCAAATGATTTAATTGAAGTATTCATCAAATGCTTTAATTGAAGTATTCATTAAATGGTTTAATTGAAGTATACGTCAATGGTTTAATTGAAGTATACATCAGACGGTTTAATTGAAGTATTCATTAAAGGGTTTAATTGAAGTATACATCAGATGGTTTAATTGAAGTATTCATTAAATGGTTTAATTGAAGTATACATCAGATGGTTTAATTGAAGTATTCATTAAATGGTTTAATTGAAGTATTCATTAAATGGTTTAATTGAAGTATACGTCAATGGTTTAATTGAAGTATACATCAGATGGTTTAATTGAAGTATTCATTAAATAGTTTAATTGAAATATACATCACACATCCATTTTTATCTTAATTTTCTAGTAAGGGACGTTTCTTCATAATGTTTCCAACAACTTATACATCAGTTGACTTAGTCTTTAACAGTTGAGATCCAACCTCAATGGAGTTAACCCATTACACGCCAGGAGTCTTTAACAGTTGAGATCCAACCTCAATGGAGTTAACCCATTACATGCTAGGTTACCATGAATCTATATTCTTATTTCAGTTGTTGATATCATCTACAATGTTAGGCTACAGTTATTCATGTCAGCCAGTAAGTTACACGGATGATCCTTATGAAATGAGGGTGAGTACTGCCATCATAGGCACAAGGCCAATAGATAAAAATATATCCAGTCTGAATGACAAAATATGCTGTTACTTACCGTTGTATTGTGTTTTTAAATTTAATTTGCTTTAAGATTTGGCTTGTGTGTTGAACAATGCGGAACGAAAGTCTTGAAAACCATTGTACAAAGAAAAACAATAGGAAAGTTTGTGATACTAATAAAATTCAAAATAAATTATACTATTCAATTGATATAAAAATACAAGATCAAATAGACAGAAATAAAGACTATATTAATAACAGCACAGCAAGTGAACAATTACAATCCTAGAAAGATACAAATATTAATTTACACACATGCATAAAGAGTACAATCTTGTAAGTGTAATGCGTCTCGTAAATGTCTAGGGAAAATAGCAAAAAACTATCCCTCTGTTGGGAAAGCTGGCGCCTTATTTGAAGGGAGAAAGTTGAAACACTCCAGAACAGATATTTAAAGAAATTGCATCACCTGATAGCATGGGCGCCCGCAGAAAACTTTCTGGGGGGGGGCAAAAAAAATCGATTAACTTTCCAGTGGGGGGGGGGGGCAAACATTTTTTAGTAATGTTTTAATATAGTTTTAATTTACTGTAGCGTATTTTTATGGCGAACGAACGGACAGGACATCAGCTTAGTTACTTTCTCTTTATTTTCTCTTTACTTTAATACATTTTTTGTCTATCTTTGTCTAAAAATTTTTTATCCAATCAATCCAGGGGGGGCAAAAAAACCTGCGGTCGCCCATGCCTGATAGAACGTATTTGAAAGTAAAAAATATTTTCCCAATAAAGGGAGGGGTGGGTAAAAAGGATTGGCACTACACATTTCATCTTGACATCAATATCAAAACATAAAAGGTGGGAGGGGAGGTAAGGTTAAATGCGACAGATCTTGGTGAATAAACAATGCGAATTGAGGTACATTGATTTTTAGCACTTAACTGAAATAATATAACCTACCAGAAGTTTGAGAACCCCTGAATAGGAGCTTTTTCCTCATTTTCCATTTATGGAATTAGATTTTTAAAAAATTGATGCAATCGACATCAGTTCAGTATAGGGTTGAAGTTATCTCACCTTTACGACTTGATTTCCCATCATTAAACTATGTAATTGAAGAGTGCACACAAAAATTACGTTGGCATATTGTATTAAAAGCTCGAATGAAGTTCAATATCGTGAAATGGTCAAATTCATTGCATCCAGCATTTTGTATCAACACCAAATGTTTAAGATCAAATAGTATAAGTCTTTTCTGTTACTTTGTGAGCAGAGGAAAAAGACACCAAGAACCTCTGAATTGTACTTACTTAAAATAATGTTAAAAATACAATTCTTTTCTATTTCAGATAGCGAGCGCCCTCTGGTGGTTCTATTTCTCTAAGTGTATAGAAATGTTAGACACCATATTTTTTATTCTAAGAAAAAAGAACAACCAAGTAAGCTTCCTTCACGTATATCACCACGCCACCATGTTCCCCATATGGTACATAGGAGTCAAGTGGGTCGCTGGTGGACAGTGTAAGTTGGACAATCTTTTACTGTCATTTTTCCTCTTGAAAGTTTGTCTCTTAGCATGTCATGCCCTAATAGGTTCAACTATGAGCCATGAATCATCAACACTTAGAATGACAGCATTTTTATGTCCATCTTTGAACACAAAAAATCTTTGGTTGCTGGTTGGTCTAAACTAAGTCAAGCCCAAGCTTGCGGTCAGGAAGACCAAGGCGAAAACATCACACCAGCGCCCCGGGTGGATGGGACACGTTAACCTTGGATGGCAACTCATCTAAGAGAAGGAAACTCTGAATAAAAAACCCGGAGAAGGAATCCCCTTGGCGGATACATTAATACAATGAAAAATTCTGACAACTCCAGCACGACAACTGGTACCAAGCTGTATCATCCACATATGATGTTCACTTGGGTTATCCAGGTGCCTGGAGAGAGGCCATTTGCCGTTCAGGGAGCCAGGTTGTACCCGTAGATAAAAAATCCCAAGCCTTGTGATTTCGTCGTGCGAAGTCTACACCATCGTCACATTTACACCATCGTCACATTGTGATGTCTACACCATCGTCACATTGTGATGTCTACACCATCGTCACATTGTGATGTCTACACCATCGTCACATTGTGATGTCTACACCATCGTCACATTTACACCATAGTCACATTTACACCATCATCACATTTACACCATCGTCACATTGTGACTTCTACACCATCATCACATTGTGACATCTACACCATCGTCACATTGTGATGTCTACACCATCGTCACAGTGTGACATCTACACCATTGTCACATTGTGACGTCTACACCATCATGGCATTGTAATGGTCATTCTCACTAAGGTGCATACGTTCATAAAACTAATCAACAGAGTTACTTCCCTTTATACATAGGATTAGAAAGACCGTAAATGAACATCTGGGAACATCAAAGAATAATTGGCATAACGTATGCTGCATTATGATAAGATGGGTAAAAATAAATAAATCCATATTAATAGTTGAATAAATCAATGGGAACAAGCTCTCAGTGAAATAATAAGAGAAGACAGTTTGTAGGTGGAGATAAGACCAAATGCACAATTATCAGACTCAAGAGATAAGACAAAAAGTTCAAGTTTACAATTATCAGAATCGATGAAATAAGACAAGTAGTTCAAGTGTACCATTATCAGACTCAAGAAATAAGACAAGTAGTTCAAGTGTGCAACGTCCATTGTTCTTAACTGGAACTGGGCTCTGGCTTTTAGGAAACAAGTCCCAGAGTGCACTGCTCATCATCATTTAAAACCCAATCTCTCACTTCATCTTTCTACTTTAAAATTTAGAACTGAGCGAAAATTGACACTATTGCTCTCCTTTGGTTTGCATGCCGACTGTCTTACTTATTGCCGACTGTCTTACTTATTGCCCACTGTCTTACTTATTGCCCACTGTCTTACTTATTGCCGACTGTCTTGCTTATTGCTGTCTTACTTATTGCTGAAACTGACCCTGTCTTAATTACTACTGACCCTGTCTTAATTACTACTGACCCTGTCTTAATTACTACTGACCCTGTCTTAATTACTACTGACCCTGTCTTAATTACTACTGACCCTGTCTTAATTACTACTGACCCTGTCTTAATTACTCCTGACCCTGTCTTAATTACTCCTGACCCTGTCTTAATTACTACTGACCCTGTCTTAATTACTACTGATCCTGTTATTACTTGTTTAATCTGCTAACTCCTTCTAAACACCACCACCCGACCTCCCCCCCCCCCCCCCCCCACTTTTGAAAAAAAAAAAGCACCAGAAACCTGACAACAACGCAAACCAAACAATTTTTTAATTGTCTTGTTTCAATGACCTGACATCCCACATATTTTTAGCAGAATTATAACAAAACTGTGTATAGATAAGATTCTTTTATTGATCCAAATAAATGGAAATGTTTTTTGATTACATCATACATATTCATTTTCAGCACATAAGTAAATATATATTTAACCAAGAAAACATTTAGTGACAATAATGACTTAATTAGCGATCATTTAGATTTGGTAACCTTATTTTTACTTTCAGCCTTTTTTGGCGCCATGATCAACTCGTTCATCCATGTCATTATGTACACATACTATGGTGTGGCTGCCATGGGTCCCTGGTACCAGAAATTCCTGTGGTGGAAGCGTTACTTAACAAGACTGCAGCTGGTTTGTTCATTGTTTCGATTTGCTTTCCTGTAGTGTACTTTTATTTATGCTGTGTCCTTAACCCTATAACTGTCAAGTGTACTTTTATTTATGCTGTATCCTCAACCCTATTACTGTCTTTTTTTCTGTAGTGTCAAGCCATTTTTAGCATTTTCATATGCTTGTCAAAAATGACAAACTCTCATACTAATTGAATTCAGAGACCCTGAAAAGTATACATTTTCCGAAAGTACATCGGGCAAGGCATCTTATGGTATCAAAAGAATTTGTTTTTATAAGATGAATATTGATTTTGACTTTGACCTTTACAGAGTGAATTCAACCCAACCTAATAATGCATTAACTGTTCAAACTATCATAAAAACAAGTTTTTGAGATAATAAAAGTAGAAGCAATATTCTTTCAGAAAATGTCAAGTTACAGGAATTATATTGAAGATTGTAAGATTCGTGAATTTTTTTCTTTCACTAACTTCAAATTTCTGTCATATAAAATACAAGGGGGAAGGCATGAAATGAGTTCAAAAATTCATTTTCAAATGAAGTTATTAAATCTATTTTTTTTATGAATTAACACTCCAGCGCACACACGAACATAATGTCTTTGAATCTCTTAAGGGCAGGTCTTTGGGATCCAATCTTTGTTTTTTTTCTCTTAGATTTCCTGCCTCCCCAAAAAAATTAGTCTGTAACAGTATGACTAAGAGTAGGGCTAAAACTGTCATTATCTGAATCTTATGTCGCCATCACTGATAACTATCACATGGGACAACTCTGAAATCATTGCTTTCATTATAATCCATTTGAAATAATTCCAATAAAGAAAGTCTGTGTTGATTTTGCAGTGTAGAGGGGGACCCTCGCCAGCATCGGACATTATGGTGGTAAAAAAAGAAAAGTAGAGCAAATTTCACACCTGATCAATCACCAATTATGCCCTTATAAAAACACATTAAAACACAGATCCCTTATAAAAACACATTAAAACACAGATCCCTTATAAAAACACATTAAAACACAGATCCCTTATAAAAACACATTAAACACAGATCCCTTATAAAAACACATTAAAACACAGATCCCTTATAAAAACACATTAAAACACAGATCCCTTATAAAAACACATTAAAACACAGATCCCTTATAAAAGCACATTAAAACACAGATCCCTTATAAAAACACATTAAAACACAGATCCCTTATAAAAACACATTAAAACACAGATCCCTTATAAAAACACATTAAAACACAGATCCCTTATAAAAACACATTAAAACACAGATCCCTTATAAAAACACATTAAAACACAGATCCCTTATAAAAACACATTAAACACAGATCCCTTATAAAAACACATTAAAACACAGATCCCTTATAAAAACACATTAAAACACAGATCCCTTATAAAAACACATTAAAACACAGATCCCTTATAAAAGCACATTAAAACACAGATCCCTTATAAAAACACATTAAAACACAGATCCCTTATAAAAACACATTAAAACACAGATGCAGTCTCATTTAGATGGAATGATTTCACCGTAACCAATATACATTAAATCATTTGCATTTTTGTTATTGCCGATGTTGCTAGCGTAACCCCACAGAAAGGGCTATAACTGCTGATGATCTGCCGTTACGACAGTTACAGGATTAATGGGGCTGTTTCAACCTTGAATTCATCAATTTCAATCAAGTTTTAAGATATTTGAAATCTATTCAACTACTAATTTCATTATTTTGTTTTCTGCTGTTCCTAAACAATGTTGCATGTACAAGATGTTATTTTTCATCTCAGGGTTATTTACTGTCATATTAATTCCTCAAGGTTCTGCTGAAACTGTGATTAATTTGGTCAGACTGAAAATTAATTATGTGTGTGTATTGTGAAGAACTTGAAAAAGATTAAATGTTGTGCACGATAAGAACATTGCATGAACAGGACTTTGAATTACAGGAATTAAATAATTTAGTGTAAGACATTTCTGATATTCATACTACAAGCACGTCAATGGTGAAATTTAATGTACAGCATTCTATAAATCACTAACAATGTAAATTTTGTTTATCCCTTCAATAAATCCTTAAATATTAAGATAACATTATTCCCATAAAAGACTGCACTCCTCAAATGTAATGGGAGTTATCAGCCCCTGGTCCTTATTGTGCCTTGAACAAATTTTTATTTCATGCAATACATATTCATTTATTTTATACACCTATTATATATATCCTTGTCTTTTGCTTGCTTCTGTAAACAATTGATATAGATTTTTTTTCCAATAACAACAAATTATGTGGCTGAGATAAAGGGGGACAATTCACTTTAAAAAAATGATATTCAAGTGTTCAATGCCACAATGTGTTATTTTGTTCCATTAATTTCCTCATTACTATACTTATTAAACTTTTTAATAGAATTATACAATAAGATTTTATAAAGGAAGTTTTTTACTTTCAGTTTAAGGATACGTTCATGTTTATCTCTTCCACAACTAAGTCACTAACACTGTTGTAGCACACACTGTTAAACCCATGTCTTGTTCACTAGAGAGTTAATGTTGTTTGACAGCAACTGCTACATCTCATTAAGTGATCAATACAATACAGTTTTGTCAAATTTTAGCAATACTTTGCATGAAACCGTACTTAAACATCCATGTTTATATATTTCTTTTATTACTGACTGTTCTGTGTTATCTTACAGTGAAATAAATTCTAGTTTTATTTATTATCTTGACACAAGCCTTACCAACCGTTCCACACAGGCCTTAACCAGCCTAGCCACAAGGGCCTTAAAAAACCTACCTACGCAGGCCTTAACCAGCCTATCCAAAGAGGCCTTAACCAGTCTACCCACACATGCCTAAATCAACCTACCCACACATATCTTAACCAACCTAACCAAAAAGTTTAAAATTAAAAATTGCTGAATGACCTTAAATGAAGTGATTTTTGCAAAACTCTAATTTAAGCAATCATTAATTAATTTTATTTTTTGGGGTAATGTTATAGTGTGGACCTTGCCTATTTTAGTACTTTGATCTCATTTAAATCTGTAGTATAACCCTTCTAATTGAACACAAGTCTAAGCAATATCCTAGTTCAGTGGTTCTCAACCTTCCTAATGTTGCGACCCTTTAATACAGTTCCCTCATGTTGTGGCGACCCCCAACCACAAAATTATTTTCGTTTCTGCTTCATAACTGTAGAGTATATGTGTTTTCCGATGGCCTTAGGTGACCCCTGTGAAAGTCATTCGACCCCCAAGGGGTCGCGACCCACAGGTTGAGAACCGCTGTCCTAGTTGGTCTTGATCATTTAGCCATGCATCACATCCGCCATTCTTTAAAATATGTCAACATTTCCTTATATTTATATAATATATATCTTGTCTTTTTTCTTTAATGGCTTCCTGGTTTAGACCTTTGAAAAAAACCCACCTCACCCACCCCTAAAATTACTTATAAACAATGTCTACAAATTGGGAACGCCACAAATTTTGTGTTGTTTTTATTTTTGTACATATTTTTGTTATGCCAAATCAAATTTTTCACTTTGCCAAGCTAGTGAGAGAAGTTTCTACAGCTGATGGTTTGGAGGAGGTCTTGCTTGCATATAAAACAGACGGTGTCTATTATGTTCAGACGGTGTCTATTACTTCAGATACTGGATGTTGTGCTTGTTGTGTCAAAGTGCATGCACAACTTCTCAAGATAAATACCTAGTCTGTAGATAGATTTCTTCCCATTTTCCCCTTTGCTTTCATTAATTTCTATGGCTATTCGCCCCTCACTCCTACACACAAACATGAAACATACATGCAAATATTAAACAATCTCAAAATTAAATTTAAACCAAATGTGCTAAAGTATTTATATTTCCTGATGCTACAGATTACACGACCACAACTTATATGTTGTATCTCGTCAAAATAGCAATGGATAATGGTCAAAGCAGATTTTTATTTTAAAGAAATATGTTATGACCAATAGTTCACCAAAAAGCACATGAACCAACACCTGGTGTCGTAACACTCAAAGACTCACTTGAACACACCTGAAGCTGGACCTCCAAGACACATTTGATGTGCTTTCATTTTGACTAATACTAACATTGTAAAGTCTAGATGTTGCTCTGCAAATTTCCTACTCTGCTGTGTGAAGCCATACTCAGTAATCTCTAACACATTTCCTGTTTAAAGAATTTGTAAACTCTGTCAGTTTATGGGGGAAATAACCCGCACAGATTTGAACATATCAAATGAGTTTAATCTGGACATTTCTTCATGTCATTATCCATTTCTCTTGACTGAGGTCATCAGTCATGTTAACATATAATCACAACTTCTCATTGGATTGTATGAACTTTGGCCTCTACTCTCATGATTGCCAATAGCCTGTCTTTCTTTGTAGATTTGTTGAGCTTCAGGTGCTTTGTTTTGTCACACACTTTTAGGCCATCTTATGCTATACACAAATGGTCATTTTTTTCAATATGATTCTAGTCTGCCAAGAAGACTTTTAGTTGTTATAGAGTTCTGTAGAAATAACACATTTTCATTGTTGTATCAGCACTGCAATATTTTCTACTTCATTTTTAGTTCAGTAGATCAGACAATATAACTTGTCATTGCTTGCTATCCAGCCCAATAATATGTTATTCTATGCTCGAGACATTTTTAATGGGGATATATACAATCCAATTACTATGGGGAGATGTGAGGCAAGACAGAAAACTTAAAGTATCAGAGCAGCGCTGACTATGTTCAAATCATTTTCTATGAATACGTTTCTTTTATTTTTTATTTTTATAGAACTTGTCTTTTCTTTGAAAAATGCAAAATTTAAAGAAAATCTTACATGGCTTGTAATTAAATAGCTGTCTTCTGAGAAGTATTTGCTAAGGGTCTGATCCAAGAAGTCTCAAAAACTTTTGGCTGGATAGTCCTCTTTCTTTTGATAGCTGATCTGGTGAGAATCGGTCAGCTAGCACCAGACATGTTTACATTCGGCTTTTTTGTTTGTGTCATCTCCCCTTCAGCTTCAGTTCTGTGTGGGTCTCGTGTATGCCAGCAACTCTATATACATTGAGTGCGACTACCCCTTGTGGATGGAGTGGGCTGGTATCATATACGGGATTAGTATCGTCAGTCTTTTTGTCAACTTTTATGTGCAAGCTTACATCAAGCCCAAACCATCACCGACAGGCCGATTAGGCGGAGAGACTCTCTCACACAAGGTAAATACAATTAATATTTTATTCACGTGTACTTTTTTTTTTCTTCTTCTACTTGCAACTGATGGACACTTCAACCTTTCAATAATGACTCCCCTTGATGGACACTTCAACATTTGAATAATGACTCCCCTTGATGGACGCTTCATCATTTCAATAATGACTCCCCTTGATGGACACTTCAACATTTCAATAATGACTCCCCTATTGGACGGATCATTCATCCTTTGTGATCTGTTCAATGAACAATTCTTGAATTTAATCATATGCGGACAATACTTCATTGATGGATTGGGACGGACATGGATGGATCTTATTTTGGAAATTTGACAAATAACCTTGAACTGTCTCTCAACTCACATATATTATGAACTTTGAACTTGCTCAGATCCAGTTTGTTACAGGCATCGCCCATGCCAGCCAGTCACTTATTCTGAAGGGGTGTGGTTTCCCAGAGTGGATGCACTGGGCACTTATTTTCTATGCCTTCACCATTCTTCTCCTTTTCCTCAACTTCTACTTTCATGCTTATCTCAACTCTCAGAAAAACAAAGTGAGTACAGCACAGTATTAGCATAATCTAGTCATGCATTTTTTATAGTATTGGCAATTTTTTATTGTGTTTAATTATTGTAATGTTTTTAAAAAAGTTAAAATAACAAATTAATGGACAAAGAAATCTGATATGAGTTTTTGGGCATTTCATTTCACCAACCAATTATATACCGTATTTATTGGCGTATAACACACACTTTTTCTCCCCGAAAATAAGGGGCAAATCATGTGTGCGTGTTATATGCCGATATAATGTAAGTTTTTTTTCCGAAAATGTCCTTCTTAAATTGAGGTGCGTGTTATACGCGGGGGCGTGTTATACGCCAATAAATACGGTAATTATATACTATTTCCATACGGAGAATAGTGTGCTACACATTTAGATTGAATGGAGGCTTAGTTACATTCTTGGGTAGTACAGTGTTAAATGTTTACAAGTCTTCAGACCCAAGACTTACAACATTAAGACTTATAGTAAAGTTAAACAGACTTTTATTTGAAACTAGAACATGTTTGATATCCTGTTTATCTCCCTTGTTTAAGGGCTTCCTTTACCATTACCGTAGTGGCAATGATGAAATAGAACCATTTTATTCACAGATGTTAATGATAATAAAATATCTACTCATTCTTTCAGACTAAACAGCAAAGCAATGGAAATCAGGCTAATGGCCATGTGGGTGCCAAGCATGGTGAACCAGAGAAGAAAAAGACCAAATAGGGACAAAATATTTGAAACTTACCTGGAAAACTCTTCGCCAGGACCAGCACCGTAGCAGACGGTTGGAACAAATATAACTGTAGCAAGAAAAGGGCAATAAAGGATTTCAATGAATTCCAAAAATTCTTAGAATTTCTATTTTACAATTCTTTTTGAGAATTCTAACTTTGATAAAGAAACTTAAAAGAAGAAAAAATGTACCGTAACAGAAATTTTACAGTTTTTTGAAAATTCTCTTATATTATATTTATTGGATTTTTAAATAAATCAGCTTATTTTATGTTTATTAAAAATCATTTTATTGAAAAGAAATTGTCAAAATGCTTTACAGTTAATGTCAAACTGGTATAAAGTATTAAAAGAGATGTGATATTTTAGTTCCATTCATGAACAATGTTGCTGTCGGTCCAAAGAAACCTTAACTTATTTATTGGCAGTCCAACATGTTACTTACAATATTAAATGAATAGATGTCTAGTTAAAAACATTGTCAAACCCAGAGCTTTTCATCTAAACCTTGCTGTTAAAATTGCTTTTACTATGCATGTAAATTCTGCCAAGACTCTCAGAAGTTTGAACATTTGTTGAGTTGTCACCCGGCTTCATGAAAAATACAACCACATTTAATTTATTAAATAAAGAAAATAATAAATTTATTCTTTACTCTATTAAAACAATTTTTTTGTTTACAAACGGCATTGCATCATGTTTCTAAGCTTTTAAAATGATCCTTATCATGGCATGCTTCAAGTCTGGTACTGCTGTCTGTGGGTATGATTAGAGTTTTCTATGAGAATTCAACGGACGAGATGAATAATTGATGGAACAATTAATTTTTACATAGATATACATTTTAACAGTTACTGGTTTTTATATATATTATTTTATTTTTACATAAATCCAACAAGCTTCTTAAAAAGAGAAAAGTTTTATGGAAAACAGTTCTCTCAAAGTAATTGGCTGCTGCTGAGAATCAAAAAGTTTCCCACATGTTCCCCAGGATAGGTTCCACTTTCTGCAATGCAATTCCATCAACTAATGCACAGGATCTGATCATATTTTAACCCTCTTGGGACGGCTGGATCTATAGGCACAGTGTCAAAAATGACAAATGGCGGATCTATCTGCCCATTAATTTAAGCCTTGAGATTGGCTGGTCTTCGTACCAGCTAATCAGATTGCTTCTCGCATTTCTTGTTTCTTGCTCATTTTAATGGCGCCTTCCATTGATATTTTACAGTGATCCGTCATTTTAGAACAATTTTTGTGGTACGCCTAACCCATAAAAATGCCTGCAAAGTATATGACTTGAAATATGTCAAAAAGGCTTAAGCAACCCCAGAGGAATATTTTATGTAGTTTTTCATGCTGCATCTCATTCAAATATGGGTTAGGACTTGTTTAGGCTTTAACTTTAACAATCATAAAATTTAACAACATTCAGCAAGTAACTTAGTAAGACATGTTCATACTAAGTGTAAAAAAACATTTGCATGCGTAAATTATGCGAATCAGGATATCTCAATGTTGAGTTTTCAGTTTGATTTATAAAGATTGTATGAGTTCATTCAATTACGTACAACTACAAGAATTTATAATTTTATATTTGTAAAGTAATTTGTTTTTTTTTGTTATTTTTTTATTGTTGCCATTTTGGTTCTGAACTTGTTAAAAGGCTCTGTCTTCTTGGCACCAACACTCCAAAAAAATCTCCGTCTCAAAAGGGTTAATATAACGATAGCAGTGAATTATTAATTCATCACCTGCATGTTTTTTATGAAATTGAATAATCGACAGTCCAAAATTTGCATAATTATCAGATTGTATATACCGTGTTAGGCTTTTTCAATTTATTTGACATTACTATTGTCATCAGTAGTGTCATTACAATTGTCATTACTAGAGTCATTACAAGTGTCATTAGTTTAGTCATTACGAGTGTTGCTACTAGTGTCATTTACTAGTGTGTAAATTCTTCTCAGTGGCCTCGGATACTGGATCATAATGACATTCATACTGAGGGTACAGGGTAGTGAGAGGCTACTGACATTAGTCATGGTACCTAGAGGCTACTGACATTAGTCATGGTAGCTAGAGGCTGCTGACATTAGTCATGGTACCTAGAGGCTACTGACATTAGTCATGGTAGCTAGAGGCTGCTGACATTAGTCATGATACCTAGAGGCTACTGATATTAGTCATGGTACCTAGAGGCTGCTGACATTAGTCATGGTACCTAGAGGCTACTGACATTAGTCATGGTACCTAGAGGCTACTGACATTAGTCATGGTACCTAGACGCTACTGACATTAGTCATGGTACCTAGAGGCTACTGACATTAGTCATGGTACCTAGAGGCTACTGACATTAGTCATGGTACCTAGAGGCTGCTGACATTAGTCATGGTAGCTAGAGGCTACTGACATTAGTCATGGTAGCTAGAGGCTACTGACATTAACTTTTCTCCCTGTACAGTCTGCCACAACTACTGCCACATAGAATCGTGTTGGGAAGGCAAGAAAAACCATCTCAAGTTCCAGTAACCTCGCAAGCTGGTTTTGAAACACTATTTAAATGCTCTATATTTCATTTGTTGACATTTGTAGATATATTTTCAGCAAGCACCTTTGCTCGAACACTAGCTGAGTCATTGCAGTAGCAGCCCATGTTTGTTACTTCCCAGTGGTAAATGTGTTCACTTGACGCTCACGTTGAAGGAATCATCTCATGAGGGTAATGATAAAAACAGCATCATTCAATCATGTGCTGTGTGTGTGTGTGTGTGGGCTTTGATAAGAATGAATTAAGTTTTAGGTTTATGAATAAAGATTCCAACTGATAGGAAGGAGGCTTTGTCAGTAAAGGACTGAGTGCTCCGTCACAGTTATACAATGTCCTCTTTTGTCAAACAATGGATGATAAATTTGTGAATGTACATTTTTCATCAAACACATTTTCAGGCATAGTTTTCACTCCACTATATACAACAATAATTTATATTCTCTTCAAAGGTGTTAAACCTACAATATGAATTGTCAATGTTATGTTGGAAAAAGTGGTAATACATTTTTAAGTAAGAGATGTTCACGTGTGGATTGATTTTTAATAATTTATAAGTAAGCACTATTATTGCTCCTTATGTTTATGGAGTCTTTTTATAATTTTGGCAGCAAATTGTTTAAATAACAAGGATTGGTAAATTTTAGTTTGGAACAATTATCTGATTTGTGAATTTTTTAAATTGTGTTTTACCTCCACCATATGAAAAAAATAAATTGAGAATGTATAAGTATAAATATCTCAGCGTTTGATAAAGCTCAATAAAACTGTCATATTTTCTGCTCATAGTTAGTCATTTGATAAGAGTTCAACCACTTGATGATAAAAACAAATGTAGAATTGTAAAAGTTTCCTGATCCTTGGACTGAATATCTAAGTGAAACTTACATGTGAACTCAAAACATCTGCCCCTGAATAGAGAGAGAGATACCTGTAGTAGCTGGTCAAAGTTTGGGCACCGAAGTGGCCTCTTTTAGTTAGTCTTAGTACTTAGACTCAAATTCAACACCGGGTATTTCAAATGTATTTACCTAGTTCTTGTCTTATACTAAATTAGGAGCTTGATGATGAAATAATTTATGTTTCATGAAATAATATTTTAATATGGTGTCTGCCTGTTTTTAAAATTATCATTTAATATGCATATAATTTGATACATAGTTCCTCAGATGTGCTATGTTTTAGACATGAATGTATTTGCACTTTGCTAAACTAGAAGCTTTAGCCTTTCTTTTGTGCAGAATATTATTATTTAGGCCAATGTTTTGTAGGTAGGAATGATATAAAAACTAGGCATATTTTTAAAAAAAATACTGTCATCTTACGTATTTAAAATTTTCTTCTTTAGATTTAAAGATGACATAAGTACCGGGTAGTTAAAAAAAATAAAATACTTAAGTCATCTTTTATTATTGTGACAAAAATAGCCTTTAAGATTTCAAGTTAGTGATTAGTCACAGTATGTATGTCTTCTATATGAACAATGAGGCAGTAGATCAGTTGTATATTCATAAGAAAAATGTTTTTAAAAATTTCCACATTCCAAGGTGGGTGATCTAATCCAGAATATCTTAGAGTAAATTTGAGTCTCTTCATCTAGTATTGAGCGGTACTCAATTAAATGATTGATGTAAAGTTTAAGTTCTCAAGATACTCTTGGTACATTAATGTTAGTATTTTAAAACATATTAAAATGCATATTTTTTGGGGCACTGCATACTCTGGGGCACTCTCAAATGAGTTGCCCTACTCCACTTGCTGGAGGTGAAGCCAGTAACGAGGGCTTTACAGATTGACTTCAGTCACACTCACAGAACCACATTAAAATGATAAAAATAAATACTAGACCTTCACTGTATGACCCCACAAGAGGCATTAATGGTCATCTAAAGCAGCGGTTCTCAACCTGTGGGTGGCAACCCCTTTGGGGGTCGCTAAACCCTTTCCCAGGGGTCGCCTAAGACAAGACCACCTGAAAACACATATGCTACAATTATGAAGTAGCAAGGAAAATAATTTTATGGCTGGGGGTCGCCACAACATGAGGAACTGTTTAAAATGAACGAGGCATTAGGAAGGTTGAGAACCACTGATCCAAACTTTATACCAAAAAAATGAATTTGGACTATTATTGTTGGCCTCAGTAGTTTGTAGACATCTAAAATTAGGTACCCGGTGTTGGGGAAAAAAGGCACCTAAACTACTGACTGTAGACCAACTATAAAAATATTTGCTGGTGTTGAAATTTTAAATCACATTTTTTCCACTTCCTTGGTTCTATTTAAGTAACTATGATGAGAGGTATGGACTGTGATAAAGCTGTTAAGCAGATTAATGAGACACAATTGCGTAAATTAAAAAAAAATTATATTAGGCTTTAATCATGATTACACTTACAAATTCAAACATTTCTAATCTTTATGTATTTTAGAAAAATTGTATTAAAAATTAGAGTTAAAGTGTTGTTTTCAATTGCTCAATTTTGTTTCTGTGTCGCTGCTAATCTTCATTAATCTAAAAATGCTTGAATAATTCTAACTTTACTTTGAAAATGTTTTGCAAATTTTTCATTAATAAATAATTGATTTATGTCAAAAGGATTTTTAGTCTCTTTAGTCCCATTAAACCATTGTATACAATAAGGGTTATCTATATTGAAGTACCAGTAGCAGTACACAAAAAAGTCAAGTTGTCATGCCCCCTTACATTTTTGGACCCCCTATTATACGGAATGTTGCATTTTTTTTTAAAAACCTTTGATAATAATTTAGAAATCATAAATTTTACAGATTTTTAGGTAACGGTTGGCTATATTAGAGATTTAAACAGAATGGGCTATTTAAGTAAGGACCTCTGAAATTCAATACGGTATAATTATTGCAGTTATTATACAAAAATGTATGTACCAGTACACATTCTGTAGACACCCCTCCCTTTCCATACGCCTAACCAAATCTAAGTAACCTGTCTAACCAAATCTAAGTACTGTCTAAACAACCCCCATCAGTGTGTAGGTAATGTATGGATAACCTTTAAAAGAGACTAAATCAATTTCAATTATCAAATATTTTCTTGTGTTTCATTTCATTTTGAAGAAGCAGCTGTATAAAAAAAAATATAGTAAAAAAAGAGCTTCTTTAAGAGCTTCTTTAAAAAAAATGCAAAACTTGTCCCATCAGAACTTGTATAAAGTGGTCTTCACTGACAGGTTTGTTCTGAGCCTCATTACATTGTCAGCGTTACTCTGTTATTTCCTGTATAAGAAAACCCAGCTGCTGTTATGGTATGAACAGGGAACCATCATTACTTTTGTTTTCAAGGATGTTCTCTTACATCATTAACTCTACTTAATTTCATGTCTTTGTACAATTTGTTACCATGAGAATGGATTAAAAAACATGATGTACTTAAGCAACAAAGCAAGAAATGACAGTTGATTGTTTAAAATTGACTGATTTTTAAAATCTCCTACTTGTATATGGTACACTTGTTCTTGTCATGTCCTTCCATTTGAGTGAGTTTTTTATTCTCCATTCTCTTGTCATAAATAAATGTCCTTCATGTGTGTGATGCCATTTTTCTTAATCTTAACATTTTTTACTACAACATTAAAATGACATACTTTTATCTTAAAATGTCTTATAGCCTTTAAGTGTGTTAGTGTTACTGAAGTAAAGAAAAGAATTACCGGTATTGTAGAATTCTCATAAGAAGGTTAGAAGTAGAAGAGGATTATTGTAGAATTCATAAGAAGAATAATTTATTTTTTCTAAGATTCCAGATTCTAACATCAACCACTTTTTTGCCACTGAGCTGTCTAACCAAATCTAAGTACTGTCTAAACAAGTCTAAGTACATCCCCATGGATATCCTTAAGGCAACTTAAATTTTGGTTAAATAAATTTAGTCTTTGCTTTAATTGCAAGTAGCTAAATGATATAAATGATGTTGCTGTGTAATAAAGGTTCCATTTCGTTGACCAGCAGCTGAAATGTTATGACCGGTAGCTGAAATGTTATGACCGGTAGCTGAAATGTTATGACCGGTAGCTGAAATGTTATGACCGGTAGCTGAAATGTTATGACCGGTAGCTGAAATGTTATGACCGGTAGCTGAAATGTTATGACCGGCAGCTGAAATGTTATGACCGGTAGCTGAAATGTTATGACCGGCAGCTGAGATGTTATGACTGGCAGCTGAAATGTTATGACCGGCAGCTGAAATGTTATGACGTAGCTGAAATGTTATGACCGGTAGCTGAAATGTTATGACCGGTAGCTGAAATGTTATGACCGGCAGCTGAAATGTTATGACTGGCAGCTGAAATGTTATGACGTAGCTGAAATGTTATGACCGGTAGCTGAAATGTTATGACCGGTAGCTGAAATGTTATGACCGGTACATGTCAAAAGACATGTAAGTTAATAAAAGCAATACAAACAGTTCTAAGCAATACAAACACTAACAGATCTAAGCAATACAAATAGATCTTAGCAAAGAGGAAAAGCTACACTTCATTTATGCAATATTAATGCAAATAATTTAATCCATCAAAGTAGTATCAGTTTCCACATAATTGTTAGATAATGAGATAGGAGCACTTCTCTGCTTCAAACTTATACTTATATCATACAAAACTGGTTGGAAGTGAATGTGTTCGGCATGGGTCAAGACTTCACTATTTTATTACCGTTATTTTTCTTTAAAATGTACAGAAATCATGTAAACATTGATTTTGTCTTGTAAACTCTCTCAATTTGTTGACACATGATTATCTCTGAAACAATTCAAATCTAATCATTTGAAATGCTAATAAAATAATTTACATCTGTCATAATGTAACTTGGAAGTGCAGGGTACATTTTCAGTAATTTGAGACTTACAAAAAGAAATCTGATCCAACAATCCATTTAACAAGTGTACACAAAGTGCATATTATCAACATAGAATCATGTTCATTGGGCGGAATAAATTAGTTCTTTTCATAATGTAATTATCATTTTTGGCAAACCAGTAACAATCTTCTATCTTCCGTATGCTCAGTTATCAATCTGTGTATACTGTAATAAAGACGTAGTAATGAGCAGAGTCTTTACAACATGCAACCTCATCATTTTGTTAACATTAAATAATCCATAGGCTAACAATGAGCCATGTATATAACTTGATTTGTTGACATTCATCAAAGCTATTCAAACAAGTTTTTTTAATAAGGCTTTCTTAGCATTACACATTGTTTTAAAAATAAACCCTAAAATGTGACAAGGAAATTAGTGTGTGGTCTGCAAAAGGCATAAACATTGAGTTTTATCTTCTGTCATACTTAGCTCTACCCTGTGATAAAGGATATCAACTTTTAAAACCCAAATCTGGAGAATGGAATCTGATCAAGATAAAATCCATGTGGATTGGTTAAAAACCAGATGTATAGTTCATTGATTTTGACCATGCTCTGTGTCGCATAATTCATTGATATTAAGGGAGAGATACTGCAATCAAATAAGCAAAAAAAAGAAATGAATTGACAATTTTGCTGCCCTCTCGGATACTACCTTCAGCTCAGCTAAGTGCTATTTTTAAATTTAATTCTGATTTTTCTGTTGTTTATTCGCTGATGAAGGCTTCCAGCTGACACATTCGTTGTTTAATTGCGTTCCTTTTTCAGGTTTTCACTTACTTTGTTTTACTCATGTCAACTTTTAGCATAATTCACTGAATTTGGCCATGATCTATGTGGCACTGACTGACAAGGCAGACCCATAGTTCATCGATATGGGCCAAGATCTGTTTGGCATAATTCACTGGATTGGGCTATGATCTGTGAGGCTCTGACTGACAAGGCAGACCCATAGTTCATCGATATGAGCCATGATCTGTGTGGCACCAAGGCCAATGGAATTTAAAAATGAGCAATAATAAATGAATTATATTGAATAGTACATGAAAATAAACTGTAAACTAGAAATAAACTTCATTGCATTTTCAAATCTATTATTTTCATTGCAATTTCCTTTACAAAGCTTTTTGTAGAAACATAACCACATCACCAATCTGGTAACAAATGTAAAGTGCCCTAGAATGGTATTGTTGGATCAGAATGTCATTTCATACAAAGTTTCTTTTGCATTATGGTACTTATTCTTGTGTATGTCTTTGAAAATATAATTGGAATCTTTGAAAATATCAAGAGTAAACGTGAAGAATTCATTTACTACCCGGTATGCAAAATTTAAAATTTTCTGTAAAAAGCAAAAAAATTAAAATGTAATAAATGCACAAATGGAATTTGAAAATTTTAAGCTAATGAACAAGGAAAATAAATTGTATTAAAGTCCAATGTCATGTTGTCTCCTCAAGCCATATTTTAATTGGCGCTGCCGAAAGGTTAGATCATAATCACATTCAGGTGTGTCAGCTACCAAAATTTTATGTTGTGGGGGCTTCAAGGACTTTATGGTTAACAAATCTGTTATGGCAAGCTTGTCATGATTTTCAGACATTTCTTTTGAGTGACCAACGTGTTCAGCATTGGTTAAGCTGTGTTTGTCCTTAGGGGTAGTCTCATTATTTTCACTTGCCATAGCACCAAACAAATTGTGTGGTTTCAGTGCTCTGAAATGAGATCTCCGTTGAGTGACACTTGAAAGTGGAGTCAAGTGTGGATCTTGTGGCTCCATCATAGGTGTATTAATATCCACAACTCTTGGCTCTATCATAGGCCCTTCATTCATTAAGTGTGTCTCATCCGTTGTCCTAGTGCTGCACTTTTCTAATCTAAATGAATTTTCTATAGATTTTTCACAGGGTAAAATTGATGATGGGGAATTAATTTCATTAATGTTTTTGAGAAATTTTAATTGCTTATACTTGTTTTGTTTCTTTAGTAAGTCTGCTTCATTGACATGCCGCTTACTCTTATTAAGTAACTGTGTGTCTGTTTTCGAGTTCACAGCATAGACCCCACTCTTATTTTTCTGACTTCTTAACTGATAAAATTGGGGTGAGACCTGAAAAGGAAATGGTGAATGTTAATTTGGACAATAAAAAAACAGTTGATTAGATTACAGTTTTCATTGAGACAAAAAAGTTTTGACCATGACAATTAGTGAGTAGGCCTAATTAAAACTAAAAGAAGACGATTCTTGGCAATCTTCTGAAGTCCGGTCCCAAATTATTTTGTATGTGAAACAAATTTCAATTCACAGTGTGTATTGTTAGAAAACAGCAGAAATAGCTTTGCAAGTAATTGTCACTTTACAAACCAGTCAGTAAATACTAAATGTTGTCATTGGCGTATAACATTTTGAAATAGCAGTCGAAAATGTTCTGCTTGTGACTGTTGGGCCACTGAAAGGCCACCAAGTAGCTGGCAAACAGACCGCGACTAGTACCACTCTGATGGCGGCGTTTGCGTTTGGCTTGCATCCAAAGTCCTTCAATAGTTTCTGTGTGAATGTCCTGGTCTACTGTATCAACAAATTCACGCGCGTGCACAGTGACAGCGTGAGCATAAATCCCGTTGTTGAGCTGACCGACATTTTGATATCCTGGCCAAACGTCTGTGACGATAGTTGTCCTTGGTAACATATGATTTGTGATAATGGGCTCAAGTGTTTGTGCATCTCGACTGCCAACAACCTCCATCCAACGTCATCCACTACCAAGCGCAACCAAGCCGACAACCCACTTATCAATGCGTCGCTGTCCATGGTGATAATTTCTGTGGGAAAAGTAACTCTCATCCATCTCAGCAAAAATAGACTGGCCGCTTGGATCGAACTCCCCCAGCAGTTGATTGATTATCAGCATCCATTGACAACATTCCTGACGAAGATAGTTGTTATAATTGACAATAGTGTCCCAGCTAACCAGGTCCCAGCTAACCAGTCTCTCAAACAACATAACGTGTTTAAACTTGACTTCGTAAACCCAATAATATATGATCGTAACTATTATTTCAGTTGTTAGATTGCATTTGGCAAAGAATGACCCAGTTCTAACATTACTGCGGGTGTTATGTGGGCGAAAACGCCACGAAAAACCGTCATTGCATTCCGCACAAGCAACTAACGCCATTGGGTGCCTGCATTTTCCACTATTAACGTTTCTGATCTCAAACAATTCACGCTTGTTTTTTACATTATAGCATACAACTCACACTGAGTTACTTCAATTCCGCCCAGTTGTGCTGCTGGCAAAATAACCAAACTAATCCTTATCGGCCTTCCTGCCATAATTTAATGCAAACATGAAAACTAAATGATGCCTTCTTAGCCTTTTGAGTAAGGAGTAATCATTGGAAATAATTTGGGACCGGACTTCAGAGGATTGCCCAATTCTTTAAATGTTTATTGATTTGAGGTACATAACAATCACAATGACTGAATGAAAATTGATATACACTATACTCTGAGTATACACAAAGAATTTTATGTCACGAATAATGTCTATACTATAAAAATGATGATTGTTCCAAAATAAATAACATTATATTATGAATATTTCAAAAAACCGTTTATGAGGTTAAGCTTTGACCTTACACTTAGACTAATTTAGACCTATGTGAACCTACCCATGCATTGATGGACAGTTCCTCGATAAAGACAGATTTGGCTGTTATTGGATTATCTACAGCGAAATCTGGTGTAAGCACTGGTGGATGCTGGGAGTCAGGACTAGAAATAAATGTTAGTGGTGGCCACTGGGTTGACGAAGAAGCCTTCCTTTTTTTAGGCATGATACCCAATTTTGCTAACTCAAGGGAGACCCAGAGAGTAGGGTTGTTTAAATTTTAGCTTGAATTAGGGCCTACCAAAGTCGCCCAAGTAATTTAAGTTTGTTTACGGTTTGAATTCGTAACTTCCGCCAGAAAAAAACAACAAAAAACTACCGGATATTTAAATTTAATTAAAATAAAGAGTAGTTTATAAATTATTTGAATAATATTACATAGGCCTCTTAATACATTTATATAAATAATACTCTTTATACTAGATGGTCATTTTTAACAAACATCTTAAAATTGGCCTAAAGATATTTAGCTTGAAAGAAAAGGTAACAATTTAAATGTTTAATCATCTTCGCGAAAACCACCAGTCCAAGAACGCCATGTCTTGCTTTCGCCATTTTCATTTAAAGAAACCGTAAATAAAATTGAAATGAGATACACGATTGGAGTTGTAAATTTTAAACATATGATGGTTAATCAAATTTTTTAAAAAAAGGAAAAATTTAAGCAGTGCCTTATGTTTTTGAAATTTAGGGGATGCTTATAGTTGTACATAAATGAGAGTTGATGTTTTTAGTTTTTAATTTTCATCATATAAAATAAAACAAAACGAAACAACCACTTTAAAACGGATATTACGTTACATCTTCTTTTACACAACTTCCTCTTTAGGGCCAAGCACGAACTTCGAATCAGGCATTGCGTTTGATTCAATTATTACTGTAATCTTAAGTGTTTCAAAACAGTTTTAGATTTAGATACTAAACGCCGAGACCCCTTAAATAAGTATCATCTGTCTGAGTCAGCATTTGGTAAAAAATAGATATAGGCTATAGATTATAGGCCTCACTTAATAAACCATGCCCAACAATAGTGACAATAAATAGTAAATAAATAGTGACAATAGACTAGGCGCCTAGACTACACTATCACTAGGCATAGATGATAGGTCAATAGCAAAATGAAAATTGCATTCTCATTCATGATTGCAACCCAGTTTGATTTATTATTCATTATTTTTTAATTAATTTTTGTAATGGTATTAGTATTGTCATTGATTCTTGTTAACCTAGTAGAATTAGAAGTTAGGCAGTGTCTACACGTCCGGCTTTTGTCTCCCGCACTATTTGTAGTAGAAGGAAGCAATGCTGAGAGGGAGAGAGAATTACGGTAATAAAAAATATGAATGCTACAAAAATAATAGTGAGGGTGATAAATAGTTAGTATATAATAGGCCGACTAGTTTAATATTCAAAGTCAAACACTTTATGTATCTCAGTGCATTTGAATATATTAAAATGTTTAGCATTTATTTATTATCTAGGGATCGGAATATTAAATGCAAAGCTACTATTTTGCGGCTACCACTTGCCACATGACCTGCCGCAATAATAACGCCTACCAGTTGTCCGGCTGTCACTTGACATGCCCGCTGGACGTATATCTCCAGCACTATTTGTCCGGCGCGCCGGATGTGTAGACACTTCGTAGAAGTTAATCTGTCATTCAATTTCAATAGGACTAGTGACTATAATTAATTATTAATTTATTGTCAATTCAGTTTAATAGTCATTAGTAATTTTAATAGACACTTTCTTAATATTAATTAGACTATTGGTAGTTTACTTCTAGATAGGGCAGCGAGCTATTTGTAGTAAACTGCCAATAGGTTCTAGAGAGCTATTGGTAGTCCAGGCAATCAAACCAAAATTAGAGCTTTAAAAAACCCGCTATCAATGACGCTGGCGAAGTATTGCCCCGTTCATTTGATACTATTATTAGTTTGTACCAGTGATACCTTAGCACTAGTTATAAAATCTACAGTACTGTTTTAACACTCAGATTTGGCTATATTGTTATATAATTATAATTTATAATAATATAGACTAGATAGATGTATGATACTGGGGTGAAAGGAATCATACTAATCATAGTCTGAAAAAATGTTCCCCAGCTTCCTCTTTGCCAAGGCCAAAGTAATATGTGCAGTAAAAAGTAAAAATAAATCCATCTGTAAAAATTTTGTGTGTACTAATACTACTAATAGTTATGATTAAAATTATAAATTAAAATACAGGCCTAAGTATGTATAATTACCATAAAAAGTTTTACTACATACAAAAAAAGTTTTACTACATACAAAGTGTGCATATTAAAAAAAATCTTGTTACTTTAGTTAAATGAAGCTGTATAATAATGTGATTAGGCTTAAAGATGAAAAGATAAGCTTATTAGGTCAAACTTTGTTTACCTGTGGAATAAAAAAAAACGTACAAAAAGTCCAGGAAAAACTTAACAGAATAAATTGAAAAGTCAAATAAATTATAATATATACATTTTTTCATCACTCTTATCCATGTTTTGAATGCATGAAAATAAAATGAATAGTCTCCCGTTTGATGCGCACATTTAAGCATGCTTACATCATTCTTAAATGTATATATATTTATTACGATTTATATCGCATCTTTTTACAAAATAGCTTGTTCAGTCCTATTTTTGTCAAATTTGGATTTTTTTTTTTAAAGTAGTCAATAGCAATTTTAGGTAAATTCAGAGAAAGCGGCCCGCGTTTATTTCCATGCACGCACTTTTACGTCTTAAATCTATCCCTATGTCTAACCCGAACCCTGAATCTATCCCTAACCCTAAATCGATCCCTATGCCTAACCTTAACAAAGTCAATGTGGGCCGCTAAATCTGAAACAGCCCAATTTTATTTAAAATGGACAAATAATGAATTGGATAGCAAGTTAGCTGTAATTAGTCATAATTCTTTGGTTAATTATGCTAGATGTAGTAATACAGATTCCTGTATTTAAAATATTTAAATCAATGAACAAAATAAAGTTAAAGTTTCCCTTGACAAAGCTCTTGAGTTTAATTTCAACTTATAACCTTTTTTTTTTTCTCATACCAGAGGAATTAAGCAATGTTGTATTAAATAATAGCAGTAATGACTAATGCTAGTCATTGAGTGATAGTAACATTAGTCATTAGATATATTTCATTATTTAATAGAAATTAATGGAACATTTACTTAACACTGCAGTTTTTGTTAAGAATTACACAAACAAATTTGTAATTACTACCGGTACTTCAAATAGTTACTTCCATATCACGCTGTCTTAGTATTAACGAATGATATCGATGAAGCACCTCTAAATTTTTTAATTTTCTAAATTTAGATGGCCTACTGATCTTCAGCCTGGTCATTTTGAACAAATAAATAGGATTTAAACTTATTGTTGTCCAATATTGAATTTATTTTACCGTACCACCAGTTTTGAAGGTGTCTGGGGTAAAAATATGTCTTTTATAAATCCAGTGATAAACTACAAAAACCTGTATGGCCGTACAACTTGGAAAGTATACAAATAATGTATAACCCTCATCAAAGAAAAGTTAACCATAGAATGCCAGACAAATCACATTGACTCAAACTAATTGAGTCACATCTACATCTATTGCCAGAGTTATATGCCTTGATCTATTATCATTATAATTATAACTTTTATTATGAAATTATGGTTATTTTAAGAATTTCGCCATCCCCTTTCATGAAAAAATTTCTGTGGTTGGCTGAAAATCCAGCTCTTCCATATAACAAAAAAGTTCTGTCCATCGAGACATCCCCCCCTCCCCTCAAACAGCACTGTTTACAGGTCTAAATCATCACCGTGCTACAGCCCATTATAATTATAACTTTTATTATGAAATTATGGTTATTTTAAGAATTTCGCCCTCCCCTTTCATGAAAAAAATTCTGTGGTTGGCTGAAAACCCAGCTCCTCCATATAACAAAAAAGTTCTGTCCATCGAGACACCCCCCCCCCTCCCCTCAAACAGCACTGTTTACAGGTCTAAATCATCACCGTGCTACAGCCCATGGAAGTCTCTGGCTTGTTACACCACATTCTTCCATTTGGACAGATCAATGGCTTTTCATCTCCCTAGGTTTAGGCTGGGGCTAAATGTTTTCTTAAATTTATAAATTATAAAATATTTTGCTGATGTAGACCTGTGATTTATGAAAATAAGCATGTGCAGTCTTAAGATTTAGATTAGTCTTTAGGGCTATTAATAGCGTAGAATGTTTTTAATATTTCTTGTGAATGCTAATTTTTAAAGAGCTAGCCACTCACCAGTCACTGGTAATCGCTAAAAGCAGCCATGCCAAAAATTAGTTAATTTGTGAAAATTCTCAAGATATGGATGTTAAAGTGATTGGCTTTGATGTTAATGTGCTCTTGAGTTTGGGAAATGTATAAATTAAATGAAATTTTTTCATAATTCCTTTAGAAAAATATGAATGAAAACTTAGGCCAAGGTAAAGACCTGGTCAATGGCAATGGAGAAAATGTTCTAAATATATTAGTAATCAAACAAAATGATACAAATAAATGTGAAACTACAAGAAACAAGCAACACTGTCAATCTGCTTGGCCATCAACCTGTTCTAATCTGTCAACTACCAATGCTAACAATGCCCCGATATCGGATTCAGGTTCCAAATGTAGCAAACAGAGAATGCCTTTATACAAATCTCAAAGTTTTACTGTTGTTGAGGCAAAGGATGCGGCCGCTAGAAAGAGGAAGATGACTTGTATTCTTACTGAGGCGGATCAAACAAAAGACAAGCAACATGGACCAAGTTTGGCCAGACAATTCCACTACAGCACCGAAGTGTACCAGAAACACAACATTCATTCCAGTTCTCCTCTACATACACCTCGGGGAGGCCTCAGCCATTTGGTTAAGTCTGTCAGTCTTCCAACCGAGCCACCTGACCTCAACAGAATGAAATTTTCAGCTTCTCCTGTTCTAATATCTAGTAATTTGAGAAATTCCAGTATTCAGAGTCTAATGGGATCACCTACCAGTATCCAGAGTCATAAAATGGTATCAAATGCTGGCACTGTACAGAATCATCAAATGTCACCTTCCAATAGTGTAACAAATCACCAAATGTCAGCTTTCTGGGTTCTGAAGGATTGTCCAGGCCCAGGCGTGTCCAATGCTAGTTATCAAAGTCTATTGAGATCACCTCTCTGCCGTGAGAATGTCAAAGCATCACCCGATTCAGGTTTCTGCACTCCTAGTCAAGACGTGCCGGGTAGTCCTTCATCATCAACACCATTGCGCCCACAGAACCATTTTCAAGATACAATCAAACCGAAGTTGCTGAGCAGTTGTTTTTCTACAGGTAGGTTATTTCTTCTATTTTACACATTCATGTTTTACATATTTTTAAAATAAGTCTCTTTACTTTACTAGTTCTTTGTTATTCTTCAGATCTCTTAAATGTCACAATTATACCATTAAATAGAATAATCATTATTATCAGTTTGTGAAATAAACCTTCTGAGTACTTTAGGCATTTGGGTACGGTAACTTAAATTGTTTATCCTTTTATATTAAAATCTTGTAAGACAAGTTTGGACCATCCTGTGACACATCAGAGCGTCCCTGTAACACATCAGTGTGTCATTACAAACTGGCTTAAAACACCCTAACCTGTGTCAAGGAGGGAAAAAAGTAATTTGAAATATTGGTACCCGTTCTTGTCATTCCATGTATTTACAGAGCACATTTACATGGGGAGGGCAAGTGGTACTTTGGACCATTTTTTAGAGTTGACAATTCCTTGGCATATGGGGAAAATAATGGCATTCACTAAACATCAATGCTATGAAAACTACACTTTTTGAGGGAAAATTAATCAAACCACCCTCTGCTCGTTTTAGTCTTCAGCCTAGGGCATTGCACTCAATGACTCAATGTTTTGGCCAACAAATCATTGTGCAACTCCTTAACCTGTTCACAAATTATTGCGTCGCTAACACTATCTCCAACCAGCTGCTTTTCATTTAACAGTTTTTTCTACTTTCTCTAGCATTTTAGAATTTAGACCTTTGCTTCATTACCACAGCAGTCACTCCTTGGGCCACAGCATCTGCCTTTATTACCCCATTGGTCTGTTGAAGAATGGTGCATATCGTCCATTTCGCCATATTGTGTTGCTAGGGGAGGTCTGGAACACGAAGACCATTATCATGTTTTAATATAATTTCTTGCTTTACTTCCACACTAAAACAATTTCTATTCTTCTTCTTCTATATCTTAAGGGCCCATGATCAATTTATTGATCATTTTGGCTCCTTTGCATGTAGATGGGATTTGCAATGTTTCTGTTACTGGTGTTGATGAGGAAATCATGCACTAGGGGTTTGAAGGCTTGAGGCAATAGACACAAATGTGTCTAGTGTTGTTGCCTCAACCGTTCCTTTTGAAAGATTGTTCCAGTCCCTGATTGTCTTGGGCAGGAATGAGCAGCTCCTATACTGGCTTCTTGCTGGTATGAGCCTGAATTGCCTGTCATAGCCTCGTCGCTGTCTATGGGGGAGAGGGACGAGTTTCTGTTTAATACTGGAACAGTGGACCAGCCCATTATTTATCTTGTACATCATGGAGAGCCTGGATTGTCGTCGTCGTTTCTCCAATGGTGACCAGCCTAGTGTTTCTAGCATGCTGCCAACACTAGAGGTATTCCTGTAGCGGTTTAGGACAAAGCGTGCTGCTCGTCGCTGGACCGCCTCCAACCTGTCAATGCTCTTCTGGGTAAATGGGTCCCAGACTGAAGATGCATAATCTAAAATCGGACGGATAAAGGCTTTATATGCTCTTTCTTTCACACAGGAGTTGCCAATCTTTAGATTTCGCCTTAAGAACCCCAAGGCTTGGTTTGCTTGGTTACATACATTGTTAATATGCTCGTCCCAGCGGACCTCTCTTTGAATGGTAACACCCAGGTACTTTACGGAGGAAACTTGCTCAAGAATATGGCCGTGCAGTTTGTATTGGTAGTGTAGAGGAGTACAACTTCTAGAGATTGATAGTGTCTGGCACTTGGCAGGATGAAATTCCATGTCCCAGCTCATCTCCCACTCAGCTAACAGATTGAGATCCTGTTGTAGCTGGTCCTGGTCAGATCTGTTGGCGATCGTCCTATACACTGCTGTGTCATCTGCAAACAGTCTTGCCTGTGATGTCAGTTTCTCCGGTAGGTCATTAATGTATGCTAGGAACAAACAGGGGCCCAGGACTGATCCCTGGGGGACCCCTGACTTCACATTGACAAAGGAGGAGCTTGTACCGCCCACCACTACTGCTTGGCGTCGGTGGCTGAGGAAGCTAGAGATCCATGTTTTAGTGGTGCCTTGAATCCCATATATCTGGAGTTTGTGTAGAAGCAAACTATGATTCACCCGGTCAAATGCTTTTGCGAAGTCCATTACTAGCACGTCAGTCTGCTTGTGGTTCTCCAGATTGGTCATCAGGTCTTCTACAAATTCGAGAAGCTGGGTCTCACATGATCTATTGACTCGGAAGCCATGTTGACAGTCATTGAGTATATTTTGGCTTTCAAGATGCTTCATGACTGTGCTTACGATTATGTGCTCCAACAGTTAGTTAATTAATTAATAGCACTTTCCTCTTTAGATGCCGTGATGAGAGTTAAATGAACACATAAAGTGCAAAAATAACAAAAGTCGTGTTTTTTTAACACAGCACATAAACTATGTTAGCTGTAAATGCGCCAAAGTTGCTGGATTGTATGCAGTACAGGCATATGCATATGTTCGTAACCCGAAGTATTTTTTGTTAACTGAAGAAAAAATTTTGTTCACAAAACTTGTTCGTTAAATGGGACATTTGTCGTGACGTATGAGGCCCCGGTGTAATTTTTTATTTAAACATTTTCCTTTTTAAAAACAGATAATTTATTAAGTGAACATCAAGATGACAGCATGTCTTCGGAACTTTGTATAGTTGATCAGAGTGAAGACTCCACTGACTCTGTAGCTTCTGTACTGTACAGGATCAATCCTCAGGCAGAGGGACAACCGACATCTTGCAATGAGAGCGCACCACGGGTTGAAGGTTAGATGATACAATCATTTCATACCTTTGTAAATTTTAGCATTATTTGGTTTAATTTGGTTTACTGAATTAGTGTGCTCAACTACAAATCTTTACTTTTTTGCTGTTTCAAAATTAAAAAAAATTTATACAAGTAAGCGACTAAAAAAATATGTCAAAATAGCGGCCTGCATGCAGTGCTAGTGATTGACAAGGCAGTTCAGATAGCGGCCTGCATGCAGTGCTAGTGATTGACAAGGCAGTTAAGAATTTACTTATTCTTTTTTTTTTTTTTTTGTGTGCAATACTTTGATAAATTATTTCTTAATTTCTGCATCATGAATAACGATTCAAACATTCCTTAAAATTTAGTTTTTCAAAGTTGTTAAGAATTTACTTATTCTTTTTTTTTTTTTTTTTGTGTGCAATACTTTGATAAATTATTGCTTAATGTCTGCATCATGAATAACGATTCAAACATTCCTTAAAATTTAGTTTTTCAAAGTTGTAATGCCAACTTATTTCATTTTTTGAACAGATGGGCAGCAGCAGTCAGTAGGAGCACTAATGTGTCATGTTTCCAGTTCAAATATTGTGGTGGGAAGTGATGGTCAGCTGAAAACAGCAGCATCCAACTATCAGGGGTCAAAGGTCTTGACTGAAGCTCAGGTGACCTGAAAAAGATTTTAAAACTATTTTTTAACAAATTGTCATCAGATAAAACTAATTTGTTTTGCAAGTGCCTAGTTAATGTTTGAATAAGTCTTCAATGATCAGCTTCAATCCAATCAATTAGGGATGTGGACAAAAATGAACTAGTGATATTTTTAAAAAAGAATTAGTGATGGTGTAAAAATTAAATAGTGATAGTGTAAAAATGAACCAGTGAAAGTGTAAAAATGAACTAGTGATGTTGTAAAATGAAATAGTGATGGTGTAAAAATGAACTAGTGATAGTGTAAAATGACGTAAGGATAGTGTAAAATGAAGAAGTAACAGTGTAATATGAACTAGTTATAGTAAACATCAATTCACGAATACATGTTGAAGATATTAATAAAATTAATTGAGTTTTCCTCCATACTCCTTTATTTCTTTGACCGGCAACACAATTGCCTTGGTGCTGATGGGAAGATCCTCAGGTAAAGGTTGGATGCTGTAAGTCTTGATGGATAATTCCCCCGGGCAAACATCGTATAATGAACGAATGATGTGTACCTCATAGCTGCCACGATCTAGGGTTGATTGTATTGGCTCTCACTTGCGGCTTTCATCATCCTCAGGAAAAACTGTTTGAACGTCCCATTTATTCTTATATGGACTTGATCAAAATGGCATTAAGCGACTCTGAGGTTGGAGAGATGACACTCAAAGAAATTCTCAAATGGATTGAGGATCACTTTCCTTACTTCAAGATCAGAGCCAAGAAAAGCTGGAAGGTTATTGATGTATTTGTTAGACTGTTTGGTTTAAAGATTCACTGATTAATGTTTGGTCTGAGACCATCCATTTTAACCTTGTGTTTGGTCAGAGCTCTACCACTTCAAATTCAACCTCTGATCACTTTATTCAAAGATTTTTCTGCTTTAAAAAAAAATTCAATTTTTATTTTTTCATTTGTATAGTGTTAAAATGAGACAATCTGTATTGATATATTTGGTTACTGAGCTGAATGGCTTAAACTTTCATCTATTGTTATATTTACTTGCACAGAGCTCAATACGACACAACCTTTCTTTGCACCCCGATTTTATCAAAGTGGAGGACAAGAAGCATGCTGGGAAATGGAAGGTTGTCACTGATGCCAAAAAATATCGAGCCAAGCTGCCAAAGCCCCAAGGTAGTAGTCCGCCATTAATGATGAGAATTCAACTGTCAGATAATGAATTAGTACTGGCATACCATTGGTCATTTAGTTTAACAGTAGGAGCATGCATGCCTGAGAAGGGGGTTCAGCCAGTATTTTTGTCCAGACCCATTTTTTAAAAAAGAAAAATTGGATGTGTCCTTCATACGCTATACTTTGTGTGTATAGCAAAGCCACCATGCTTTGTTTGACATTTCTTTCCTTGTTATTAAAGGTCACCAGGTTTTTCACAAAAGTATTCTAACAAGTCGAAATTAAATGTTGAAAAACATGACCGTCTTATCTGGAGTGAAGTTTAACAAGAATTATTTTGCTTTCCTTGTTGATTATTTTGGAACAAGATCTCTTCCAGCATTAGCTCAGCATCTCAATCTATGCTTGCATCAACAGAAGGATGGTCAGCCGCTAAAGTGGTGAAAATTATGTACACGTAGCCAAGAGCTTGAGATGAGCAATAGTCATTGGCAATGCTATCTCGCTTGGCAAGAATTAAAAAGATGCCTGTCACCTGACAAAAACACTGAAAGTAATTTTTTTTGGAGGCATCAACTGACACAGAATCTATCAAGTGAGACAACATTAGGAAACAAAACAATTGATGTTCTCACAAAGAACATACTGTGAGAAGGGAGACGGTAGCACCGCGGGCATGGAATTAGACTCATGTCTATAAGTGAAGAAAAACAAATATAGAGTTCTGTGGGTGTTACTTCAGTTAGTGGAGAGGTATTTTTTATTTTCTCCTCTCATGTGGTTGGCATAAGCATTGGTGTAGTCATCAATTTTCAACATGATCTCCTGACATTACAAGAGTTTGAAGAAATTTACTGTCGACGATAAATATTTTATTTGTAAATTGCAGGCTAGCTTAACATAAAAGCAGGAGTTTATTTTCAGCGATCTGATTACAACAGTTGTAATCATGTAAATTATTATAAAACGATAGGATAAGAAAAGTGTTATTTTTTGCCAATAGTAATAGTAAGCCTATTGCAATAACCTATGGCTATATAACCTTTATTAGTACTGCAATTATAATACCAGTATCAAATATTCCTTGCCTAGATTTTAAATTTTTTTTGCATCTCATTTCTAGTTGCCTGCTTTTCAGAATCCAGAATATTTGAGACAACGTTTTCATATAGGGATAAATTTAGTCATGGCCTGAGAGGGTCCCTGGTCAACATCTTCATAGGTTTGTTTGTGTCCAAGTCAATTGGCAATGTATTATCTGCACTGAGATGGACCAAACTATTTGAACTATAAGGCTATATTAAGTAAACCCCTCATAACATAGTTTACAAAGTATACATTAATAACTTCCACTGTTTACTCATGAGAGTTAGGCAAAACACAACTACTCCTAAAATCAGCTGTTTGATCAGCTGATTATGTAAACAAACACCTTTATTTTTGAAGTGAAGACATGTTGGGAACATAAACTTATCATTACAAAATGTAAGGCTATAACTAGGACACTATTATTAAATTGCAAAATATATTTTGTTGTTTAGATTATTTAGAAATGTTAATTTTATTGGCTGAATCGAGTGGTTAGCTAGACTTACATTGTTTGAAACTGTACTTGTGTAGGAAAAGAAAGATCCAAGTCTTCATCCGATGTTGTTTCAAATTCATCTGTAGGGAGTCACTTAGGGATTCATCCAACTTAATTTCACTTTTTTATAAACTCAGTTTGGATTTTTAAGTTTTTGAAGCAGCTAGGGCGATTTTGAGTTGCCGCGGGAATACAAAATGGGTGATGAAAACTCATGTCAGTTGCGTTCACTAAAAAACAATTTAAAAAAAAAAATGATAATTATATTTTAAAACCTTACTTTTTCTAAATTAAACGTAAACCCTTTTTACCATACGGTAATAATAATTCTATTTAACTAAATCAAAAATAAATATTTAGAAAAAAATAAATCAGCGCCTCCCTTCTCCTACCCAGCAAAAGCATTGCATTTGTCAATAGTTGGACCGTACAGAGTTAAAGAGTCGCAAGAAAAGGGAGAATGACTTAAATTACATTATCTCAGTGGCGATTTCCAAAAAGATTAAATTGCTGATTGTTCCTCACTAGTTGAGCAACACATTTTGGAGGACAGGGAAACTTAAAAGTACTTTAGTGTTATTTTTTTGATCATTGTTGATTCCACGCCAGATTCATCCCATCTTGAACTAACATTTCTTTTGCGTTCGGTAATACCATATGAAAACCAATAAGAAATTTTAGAAAGATTTTTTATAGTTTGTGGATATAAGCTTATAAAACAGGATATGACCTAGCGCAGATGATAGTCAAAACATTGAAATAACCAAATATTTCCCGGTCTGATTGTCGTGCACAGAGATATGACAATGCACCCAACAAAGCAGGAAAATATAATGGCGCACAAGCAAGAATAATGGAGCAAAGTGAAACAGCTTTATTTTGTCGCATGTGAATGACACAATATTAATTTGTGTGGTTATGATGCAGCAGAGTACATTCCTGAAGCTATAAAATACCTTGGAACTGTACAAACTGTTCACAACTTGTTTAGTTCTAGTCTACAGCCATGGGAAATCTGGCAGAAGTGTATTGGCTGTTCTCTTCACAGCATGTCTGTCATATCACACGATGGTCAGACTGTTGAAAGTATGAAGCCCTTTGAAGCCTACCTGCCAGACATCAAATTAGCATTTGAAAAACCCTTGTAGTTGGACCTAATTGCCAAAAAACAAAAACAGATCAATGGAGCTTTGTCTTATGTAACATCCTTCATTTGTGTGGTAATGTCTGGTGTATGGAGCTTTGTCTTATGTAACATCCTTCATTTGTGTGGCAATGTCTGGTGTATAGAGCTTTGTCTTATGTCACATCCTTCATTTGTGTGGCAATGTCTGGTGTATAGAGCTTTGTCTTATGTAATATCTTTCATTTGTGTGACAATGTCTGAGTATTAGTTCCAGTGGATATCCGTAAGAAGTTTATTCTGCCCAGAAATGCAATGCTGGATGTTGAAGTGTCAAAATCTTTAAAAATTGATATCAGAACTGACCAATCTTCAGAACAGCTGGAAAACTAGATGGAGCAAAGTTCAGCATGTTGCCTCTAATTTGTGTATAGAAGTGAAACTCTCTGGAGCTTGGGGTGAAGCAAGATGAAAAGAAAGAGGTTCCGTGGTGGAAGGGGGGGGGGTACAGAAGAAGCAGATTTGTTCTAACAAGATGACATGGTTGAATCCCCTGAGGTGGCATAGTTCAGAAAATCTGTCTTTGTGTAATGTTAGATCATGTTATCTGTGTTTCAATGCTACGGTGAAGATTTCTGAGAAGTTGGACATGTCAAGTCATCAAGATGAACTGAAAGAAAATGTCAAAATGACTGGCCGATCAATATCCTGCTGATGTCAGTGAAGATCTTGTCATGGAGATGAGATCAAAATGACTGGGAGATCAATATCTGCTGATGTCAGTGAAGATCTTTTCATGGAGATAAGTCATGTGACATCTGCTCATCAAAAGATGCGTGAAAAGATACCAGCTGGAAGGACTCTGTCCAAATAGATGTGTCTGTCTCCGTATTCTGTTAACAGTTCCTGCCACTGTCACATCTTCTGGGCTCTCATTCAGTAAACTAAAGCTGATAAAAAAATTGAACTTAAGTATACTATGTCTCACTTATAGATTCAGGTCGATGTCCATGGATTTGAGAGATACTTTAAGACAATCTTTAAACCATATTTGATCATGTTCAATTTCATAATTCATCTTGTCAATATCATAGGAGCTAACCAGGACTCTCACATATCATACAAACTAACCAGGACTCTCACATATCAAACTAACCAGACTCCCACCAAATGAAAATTAAACATGTGTTGTATAATTTTGTTGTTACAGTAACTTAATAAATAGCATGTGATGATGAACTGTGTTGAATAAGCTTTAAAATGTTTGATCTGTTGAATCTTTGTAGAAGTGATATTTAGAAATGTATGTTCTTAATAGACTGATCTCAAACCTATTTCAGTTGTCAAGAGTCCAGAGCAGACACAGTTTTTGAAAAGATCAAGGAGAGAAGGTCAGGCACAATGTTATGTCCTCTAATATTTAGTACTATTATTATCATACTGTTGGAATCATCATACTACTAAGATGTTCATATTTCAGAAGCCCTGTCATAGAGTTTTCATTTCATAATAGAGATAGAACTTTTATGCTCTCATGCACAAAATGTCTGATAAAATTAACCATGGAATTTTCTTTTCTAAAGACAGACATTACATTTATGATCTGATGCACAAAATGATATAAAGAAATGGTTTTGACTTGTGTCAGCAGTCCACAAAGTTATTTTCATGGTTACCATGTGTAAAATGTTGAAAACCACTGCATTAGGCAGCTAATGAAAGACTCTTACCGTGTGCTGGGAACTGTCAGAGTCATTGGTCACATTTCTGTTGACTTGATGTGTTGTTGCAGAGTATGATGTTAAGAAATTATTGCATAAAAATTGTATTTCAAATGAAATCTTTAAATGACAGTTTTTTTCTTTGACAGGCCCACAGCCTATTCTGCCCAAGTCAGTGCCTTTTGCTTTAGTTCCACTGCCATATTCCTTTGGTCAACCAATGGCTGAACAGATCGGCCAGGCGGTCAGTCTGCAGCTCGGGAGATCAATAGATGAGCAGCTGAGGCAGGTTGCAAATCAACAGTTCAGCGTTGACAGCCATCAGCAACTCAGACATATTGTGCCCAAAATTCATCATCAGCTCCAGCAGCCTTTCAGTACACATTTGGGTCTTTGTCCAGCTGGAGGCCAACAAATTATTTTGCCTGCACAAAGTTTCAATGTTGCCAATTTTCTACAGCTGCAATTTGAACAGCTGACGTCAAGTCATGTTCAGGTCCAGTCAATGAATCAATCATTCCAGGGAAAACAAAA